AAAACATGAAGAAGTATAACGAAAAGGGAACTGAAGCCCGGAAATGAAGGAAGATTTGAGATGCTGGGAAAGTTGAACATCTAAATAGATGGCTAAACCAGTCATAACGGAGAATAATACATGAATAACGCAAGTGAACGCAACGAAGAAGCCGGGCCTCCTGTGCGCATGGTTTCTCCAAAGACGGTGGGCACGACGGATAGGAGCGAGCGTTCAATTACCAACGTCTTCGGTGACATGTACGTGGGGTTGGCCACACCCCTCGCAGCCGCTTTCACCAATTGACGCTGCGCGACAGGCAGGCGCCTCTAGAAAGTCGTGGATCACAGTGCCTTGAGTCAACGTTCATACAACACGAAGAGATTCTGGCGATATTGGAGAATCCGGCTGATGCAACATTGGGGAGAATAGCGAGCTATGAGCATAAAATGGTAGTGTCCAAGGAGAGGACATTGCGCGCCGCAGGATTAGATGAACTTCGACTTACTGCGTAAGCGTTTCCAAAGTATGCGCTACCTGGGAGAATGCACACACTCCCAATTTGCACTAATCGAGAACACAGCACTGAGTGGGTCGATTCCCATTTAATCCTTTGGCGCGCAATCTCCCGATTCGCGGATTCACAGAATTCGCCGATTTTCAAGAAAATCTATGCGATACCAAACGTAAGTGTTCCACAAAAATTCTAGCTGGATCAATGGTGTAACCTCAATAACAGAATCAAGACGTTGAAGTAAGTGGACTTACGTTTGTTCAGAGTACTTCTTTACGCAGGGGAATATCGCTGTTTTCTACTCGTACATACACTCCATATCCCGGAGATGAAATGGGCGTGGCTGCGCATTCTATTTGAACACGTCGTGGGAGCGTTTATCGTGGGATATTCTCATTCGAGACAGCTGTTCTCCTGTCTTGTGTTAGACGAGAACCCGATTACAGTTGTCCCAAAATGGCAATATCTGCGCCAGAAGCGCACCAGAGCCACCTTCTCGTGAATAATGCTGACACGCCCTCCTCACCTATGGGATATATGGAGGTAGTACTAGAGCTATCTAAAAAAATCAAAGCGTCACATAAATACTGCTCGAAGCCAACTTTATTCGTAAGCCTCCGGCCCGCATGAAAGGGCATGTCAGACGAGATGGGTCTGATGCAGCTCCAAACCCGTTTTCCACCAGTTGTAGTAACGAGCAAACGCTAACCTTCTGTCGTATCATTCGTATCAGTCATTTCCACCAACTGTTGTCGCTTACCCGCTTCAACAACCGGCAGAGCGTTCGGCGCCGCGCCAAACCCATTCTGCCGGTACGCCCCTTCTTCCGCCGCGAAGCAGATGTGTGAGAACTTAACAACGCTTGGCAAAGTCCACTTAACTTCAACGTCTTGAGGAAAGCATTACACTCGAAAGAAATCGTATAGAACACGAGCTGAAGGAAAAACACTCCTCAGCATAGCATTCAACTTTCCGCACTGCAAATTTTTGAAAAGTTGTCCATATGAATCGGAGGGCCATGATACATTGTCGACGGGGCTGGACACGGATGCGGTGGCCCTACAAGCATTAGTATATTTTGTGAAGAATTTTGAATAACTTCTAGGAAGGAGTTAAAGAAAACCAGAGTAAAACCCTCACCTCTCAAAGCGGGATGTCCGGGAAAAGAAGCCGAAACTTGTGGCACAACCGAGTTTGGCGGGACAGGATTCATGTGAGGACGCGCCATAATTATATTAGGCGGTGCCGCCAATCTACTAGAAACATGGACTTTGTAGTGTCGTAAATTCTGGCTTCCAAGAATAAAGTATTAGGGTGGTAGAAAAACCCATGTCACCGCTGTGATTTTTCTTCTTTACTTTCTAATTTAACCAGCTTACTGTCTAATTCGCCCGGCTGACGCCGAGCTCTCCTCCTTCTCTTGAGCTGGCTTGGCTTCGTAAGGCTCTTTCCGCAATGGTAACGTACTTTGTTCATTCATCTGGCTGCTCATACTGCGCTCTTGATTCGCAATCGTATCAAGAAGCACGGCAACGGTACCGCGCGAGCTTTGTCCAGCTGTCACGCGAGCTGCTTGTGCAATGGCTCGGAGTGTACTGAATAATTGTCTTATGTCTTATATAGTGAGGGTACCACAATCAAAACAACGTTATAGTTTGTTACTTTATTTGGCCATTAGCTTGTGTTTTTCCAGCGCCTTATCCTCCTCTCTTGCTGCTGCTGCTGCGTGCCTCACTCAAACCTGCGCTTCGCACTCCCTCACTGTTCCCCTTCATGCAGCCTCTTCCCCCTGTTTCCCTACCCTACACGTGCTCAGGTCCGCACTGGCACGTGCAGGGAAGCGAAGCGAGTGAAGAGCGTCATCGGTACCCTCCTCTCCGTCCCACGCTACCCCAACCTGTGCCCCGCAACGACACAACGCGAGCGCTTCGTGCAATGGATCGCCAGTGTACTGAAATCGGTTCGTATTATATTAGTGGAGGCTGTGATCAACAGTCAAAACATCCATGGAATTGATACATCTAGCACCAATCGGTCACCAACGGTTTCCGGTTTGTCTAGCTCGCTCATCTCTCTCCCGCCTCCCTTCTCTAGATTCGAAACCGTGAACATTTGCGGAACGGACAGAACAATACATAACACACATACATGCATTACAAACACACAAACCGACACACAAAGTTTTACTGATCCTTATAAATGAAAGGATATGACATGGAAAAGCAGTCTTAATACAGCTCGGTACGCCATTAGCGTAGTGCTCCACTATCCAGGATGGCGTGGCGCTCCTCTACCTAGGGAGCTTGCGGAAACCAGAAGCAAATAGTCGGTGAGTCAACAAGAGCATGTTATTAGTTAGCGGAAGCCTCTTCACTTCTTCGAACTCAAAAAATATTTGTCCATTACCTGAAGAGGGGTGAAACGTAATAAGGGCACTTATATATCAAAGAGGGTCTTTCTATAAGTACCACTCGCTTGATTCCTGCTTCTTCTTCTGTTGTAATATGGACAAGAATGTTACCGTCGCTACCGACCCCTCCAAATGCTTCTGATAGTGCAGCGCACTTCCCAAAAAAAGTTCTAGCCGTTCCTGCATACCAATAACGAGCGAGATGATCTTCCCACGCAGTGGTTGTACCACAGACACTCCTTCTAACTGCGAGTTGTCTCCCGTTATCAATCATTACTGGACGAGAAATTATGAGAAAACTCTCGAAAAGTCTGAGCTCAAGCCAAGATTGAGATGATGTGCAACTTTGTATCACACCTCCCTGCATTGCCTGAGCAGACTGGCTAAATGAGGTGCTCACAAACAGGCAAGTACACCTCCAGTTCATCGCATCGCTACAATTTTGATCTTCACGCCTCTCATAAAACAGAATAGCCAATTTTGAAAAATGCGAAACTTTTCCGACCAACCTAATTAAGCAACTGTATGCCGCCGCTGCTGATCAGTGGTCTTGGACGAGCGATGCCAGCGCAAGGCGGTAAGAGTTTCCGCCTAGCCGCACACCGTCTGAGATTTGGACTGTAAGGGACCGGGGAGATGCGGATGTCGCTTAGATGATGGTGTTTTCTCGCATTGAATTCAGACAGCTTTTGATGATTCCAATCGACTAAGCTGATACAAATCGTGGTTTAGCCGCGCGAAGTTTTCAGATGAATTACGATTGTCTTGTTCGACTTCCTCTCACGAATAATAGCGAAAGTTTACTCAACGAAGAAATTCCAGAGGCGAAACAGGTGACATTTCAGGGGATCCACGTCAGAGGATAGCGAGATGGTCCTAGACAACTTCTGCGATCTTTCGGTGAGTGTGAACTAGCGTCTGCCTTTGAGGAGGTGCACCAAAGCCTCTGCACATCTTGACTGCTCTTCACGAGCAACTTCTGCAATTATCTAGAGTTGAGTAGCGTGGAGGATAGCGTGATACCTGTGGGAGCAGATCGTAGTAGTACAGCATTCCCCACATTCCAGAAACAACAAAGAAGGAGCTTCATGGGATTAACGACCGATCTGGCTCGCATGGGTGGGCGAATCCCTGAAGGATGCACGTGGAGGACCATAGGGATTAGAACTGCATAGTACCCAGCTGTCATCTGTGATGAGGTCTTCCAGTAGCTGTTTCTGATGACGGCGTTGGGGATATGCGGACGGGTTTCTGCGCCTACCACATATGTCGAAGCGGTCATCGCCGATATCAGCGCTTTGACCACCACCCACTGCTCTACAATTTAGCATACGGGCTTAGTGGGTGGGTGGGAAGTTGCCTAAAAAAAGAAGTCAGCAGTAGCGTGGTCTAGTTGAGTCCAGTCAATGTGTTCACTGCCGACGAGCCGGCTGCCGTCTCGACATCTGCGCTACCGGCACCACCTCACCGACTGCCACTGCTGTCCACCTTTCGAGGACGCCGAAACGGGTACGGGTACTGCTACCCTTTTCGTAAACGATAGCTAGTAAGCGACCCAGGCATGTCGAATGGCTGCACCTGAGTATTATCGCAAGGTGCTTGGTAAGCTCCGGATACTCTTGCATAGTTTTGAGAAAGGCGAAGGTTCCCACATTGTGAGAGTGTCGCGACTGATTCCTGCATTCGAAGAAGGCGTCTCCTACAGCGAAGCCGTCCCCGTTTCGGCGTCCTCGAAAGGTGGACAGCAGTGGCAGTCGGTGAGGTGGTAACGGCAGCGCCGATGTCGAGACGGCGGCCGGCTCGTCGGCGGCGAACATGTTGACTGGACTCAAGTAGACCAAACTACTGCTGGCTTCTTTCAGAGGCAACTTCCCGCCCACCTACCAAGCCCTCCCGAAGTATGCCAAATTGTAGAGCAGTGGGTGTTGGTCAAAGCACTGATAATTGCCAACTGCGCATACGTATTGCAGAGTTTGCGCGAATATTCTACAACTGTAACATCATGGGTGTCGAACAAGGTCCAAATGTTACAGACAAAAAAAAAACAATGCCAGGACTTTCTTACCACCCTTCCAACAATGAACTTCAAAAAAAAGCTTACCTTCCAGGCTCCACGTTAGGGATGGATTTTTTGTCGCGTACGTCATTAGGCAAGCTCCGATTACTGCAACCGGGAGCAGTCTTGTTATTGTTAGTAGGATACGACGAGTGGAACACTTTTCTTGGTAACTGCTCCTCCGTCAACATCATGGTTGGACTGAGGTGAGGACTGGATGATAAGGATGGATTGTGGAGACTGCTCTCACTAAAGCATATGCATTAAAGCGATGAGACGAAAATGATCCACAATTTAAAAAATGCCCGTGAAAGAACCACTTCTAATTGAATAATAAACATAATAATTCTCATAATAATTCTAAATATAAATACCTAAATAGCCAGCAGCATTGCAGTAGGAGGAAAAAAGAATGAATGAGGACAAGCCAGTTCAAGGACAGACAAAACTGATTAATAGGGTCGTCGGTACGCCGTTCGTTCGGCGCCTTCGCTTGAACTCCTGCCAAAAGATGTCGAGGATGAAACGACAATCAAGAGATTCGGTCCCGATTTTGGACGAGTGTTCGCATCAGAATGGCGATAGACTCCGAACGGCCTGGTAAGGGTGGATTACGGCAGCACCGTGCACAATACGCAATCGTGGGCGCCGGCGTCCCACATGCGTCCAGGATGCTTATAAAACCTGCGAAAAACCCTCCCCTCTTTTTTCTCGCTCCAACCTTCTGGTCTTTTCCTTCCTTCCTTTCTCCTCTCTCACTCTCTCCCTTCAACTCCTGGGCCAAGAGATGCCGTGAGAAAATGCCTCCGGACCATCACAGCGAGAGGAGGTCCGGTTGACAGAAGCCCTTTAACCATGCTGCCGCGCTCTACCCGCGAGCTTACGGTATTTGCAGTCTGCCGCGCGACTCGGAAGGAAGAGCACATTCAGACTTTGCGATCTATTATAGTCGTTTGGATGGCGCAATCGGATCGCTCGAGCGTTCGAATTGTGAAGTCTGAATGTGCTCTAATGCTCCGCTACCATTGGAACAGACTTCAACGCACCTTCACCCTTATCAACTACAGCAGCATCCGCAATAATTAGAGATTAAGTTGAAAGAAGCAAGCGAGATGTAGATGGCTCACCGTAATGGACGTAATTCAACGAGTTTCGATGTTCTCACCATCGGAAGAATATGCATAATCGAAAAGATGACTGACTCCACATTTTTGAAAACAACGAGAGCATGTAGTGGAGTGCCATCATAATTCTCTTTGAAAATTATCTTCTCAATAGGCCCAGCCTGAAGAGTGCTATCAATACACTCTGCCGGAATTCAGAAAAAAAATAACTATAACGTCTAGGCACTTACACGACTCAACAGCTCATACAGATCGTCATCCGTGATAGATTTATGGATCATCGATACAAACAGCGTCCTGTCTTTTCTACTGTGTGAGTTATTCATGCCTAAAATATCTATTCGATATGAAGCGTTTCGCCGCAAGCTGCGTTGATACATAGCGAGAGCATTTTTAGCAGCTAGGAAGGTACATATCGATCTAGCATTTTGACATACGCCGGCGTTTTGGGCGCTTCCGCGAGCAGTCGCTGAAAACTATGGCGTCCGCTCGAGCTGCTAAATCGATATCTATACTTTCCTAGTCGCTCAAAACGCTGAAGCAAAGTATGGACGCAATCCAAAGGGGGAGGGAGCAAATGTGCTGCTCAGGTATACGTCATAGTGTAAAGTATTGTAAAGACCTGGAAATACACATATAGATAGAGGCAGCACTCACCAAAGAACATATTCATTTCCTAGATACGCTGTATAAGACAACCAGAATTAAGGCAGAAACAAACACCTACGTGTATACGAGTACTCGTATGGGAGATGCAAAAACTTCCTTTGCTCATCCCTCCCCACAGAGTCAGGTACGGCTCACAGTCGTTTCTCCGCACGTTCCTGTTTTCGCATGTCATAACATAGAAAAAAAATAAGGAGCCAATAACCTGGGCGGGAGGGGGATGAGTGTGGAGGGATCCAAAGGATCATTTTTACAAAATGTAAGCCATACAAGAAACCTATTCAGTGGACTGGCAGAGCAATCCAGAGCAATGAGATTTTTCAAGGGCTTTGTGTAGTGATAAGAGCACTAGGAATGAGGCAGTGTTCATACTTTGCAACAGAAGAAGTGGCGAAATGGATTAAACACGTATCGATCTGAGGAAATGAAAAATCGGCGGACTGAAGAACTGACGAGTTGCCGAAATAGATCGATACATATCTAATCCTTTCCATCAGTTCTGTAACTTGTCAATTCTTCACTGTCGCCAAGTATGAACGCAACCTGAGGCCGTATTCATGCAGGCTACGTTCATTTTAGGGAAATCGGTGACTCGACGTTTTCGGAGACAAGCTAAGAGGATAGTGTACGTATCGATCAGGAGATCTGGAAACTCGACGTTTTGGTGAATGCGCTTAAAGGATTGGATGCGTAGATCGACTTCACCCTGGTGCAGAATCGCAGAATCATCGAATCTCCGAAAACGTCGGATCTCCAGAGCTAGAAGACGTGAATGCAGCCGCACAATTTCATTGAAGAATCAGGGAATCCTCGGGAAGGAGTGTTTGTACATAAATCGATTTCTTCGTCTCAGCCCAGGTGAAGAACTAGCGAAATCGATTTGTATGCAATCCTTTCCGCGGATTTCCTTCCCAATTCCGAAGTGCAAGGTATGAACAAGGTCCGACCGCATGACGGAACTGCAATTTCAGCACTAGTCCAATATGACGGGCCATTTC